GAGCTGCTGACCAAAGAGCTCCTGGCTCTGGACTCGGTGGACCCGGAGGGCCGCGCAGACGTGCGGCAGGCCAGACGGGACGGCGTCCGGCGCGTGCAGACCATACTGGAAGCACTGGAGCAACTGGAGGACCAGCCGGCCAGGCCGGCCAGCGCGGCCTCGTCGGAGGGAGACGGCCTGACGCAAAAAAGAGAGCCCAGCATGATCACCCAGGAGAACGTCGCCATGGCGAAGGAGATATCATAACAATGCTGCGCTTCACAATGAAGAGGAGAGAACGGGTCACCTGCTGTACATTCGATTCCCACACCTCTAACTACAGCATTTGTGGAAGTTGCATGCATTGAATAACAGTGTCGGTATGTCCATTCAGCACATAACTGGTGGTATCTCAGTCCAGTCGTGTCGCTCAAGCCATCGTTGTTGCCTTCCATGTTGTGCCAATGTCTTCGTCATAAGGCTGCAGTCACCAGGAAGATGTTGACATTTGGAAGGCAAAACCAAGACTGAATAGAGGCCTTTATCAATAAACACAACAGAGACACTGAAGTATTTTCTTAAGAAAAGTAATGCTTAGTTGCCTTTGTCCAATTAGATATTATATTAAGCTTTTCTTAATCTAGTCAGCACATGGGTTGGGATACTAGTGAAGCAAACCTTGGAGCTTGAAAGCAGCACGTGGAACAAAATCGAGTCATCGGAAAAGCGCTATCCCAGGCTGCTTCGTCACACAACGCGGTGAATTTGTTCATGAAACGCTGCTGTCTGTTGCGTTTAGGTTTTTGCCGTCTTTGCACTTTGCCCTGGTTGAAATCACACTGCCCATCAGCAGCACTTCATTTGAAGTATATCATTTAAAGCAGTTTTGATTGATGTGTTTGAGTGGTTGTATGTGAATTGGTTTACTTGTTATTTCAGAATCCTGCTATCAGTATTTATATGAAGTATTTTGTTACATTAATGAATGTGTAATGGCACATTGGGGTTGGGACGTGTGTCTTGCAGACAATCAGCACCTGCTGCTATAAGGGGTCACAGTTAAAGACTGATGGAATGTCCCTGTATCATTGCCAAAGCCACAATTGTAATAATGTCAACACCAGAATGACCTGTAGGCCTTATGTGCCCAATGGGAGGAAATGCCCCATTCACAGACACCTCAGTATATCTGGTTAAAAAGGTCCAGATCAGCTTTTGCTATTAGCCTGTTTTAACACTTTTATGATAACCATGTGCGGTAATTTGTCACTCTAATATGATTGTAAGACCTCTACGTAGAGTCGCAGCCTTACACACTTTTCACCAATTATGGATTGTGGCTTACAGCTGATCATGATTAGTTTGTAACTGACTGAATGAAAAAAAGTGATGGTATAATTGAAAATAAAATATACTGATTCCCAAAGATTCTGCAATACAGAGAGTTTTTCTGAGTTTTTCCACCTTCAGTTTTATATTGGAGCCTCTTGGTGCACATTTCAAAGGGTGATACCATAAAGTAAAATAACGATCAATAGGTCTACCATTTTCTTTCTTTTTTTTCTTGAGAAAACTCTGATTCTTAGGTCAGTATGTGATCCTGCCACTGAAAAGGTGCTCTTGTGTAGTCCATCAGCTCAGTTTTCAGCTGTGATGTGACCAGCTGTGTCTGAGGTCAGCTGTTCCCTGCCTTCTCCCTTTGGGCCCCCCACTCATGACTAAGAACACTTTTGGCCCCTTGCCTCAGGCTGGGTGGAGACAAAACAACATTGTTTTAAGATTTAATTTACAGAGAACCCTAACCTTCAAATAGCAGCTAGGGACCATAAGGTGTAATACTTACTTTCGGACAAAAACTGGCTCCTTGCTGGCTCTGAGACTTCCTTTCCATCACATAGCCTACGAGTTGCATGTTACGGGCAAAGAAAACGCAGCAATAATAAAATACCTACTTAAACCCAGGAAGGAGTGTGAAACTGTGAAACCGTTTTTCTAAGTTGAAACTCTACGACTGACACTCGGCATTCCCGGGATGCTTTCCCGTTAACTGGCCGCCGTGGTTTCTATGTACAGTAGCAGCACACTGGTGATGATGACGGCGTGTCACGTGCTATTGTTTAGAGCAGGAAACGTCGGTGACGTCCTGAGCGACACGGCGGCCCCCGCTTGGGACTCTTTCTCACACACTGGTGTGTGTTTGCCTTGACTTGGTTCGGCATGGCTCTGGGAATGGATGCGCCTCCGATATGAAGGGTCTTTGAGAATCAAACATGCGTAGAAGTGGAACAAATACATCCGACACGCGCCCAGCTGCTGCTAGCTTGCGAGGCAGCTAGTTTCCGTGGGAAACGAGCTAATCTTGGCTAGGCTAGCTACCGCGAAACCTCCGAGACGTGGAAGCCCTCGCACCTGTCCGCGTAGCCCAGACAGGTATCTGGTTTGTGTAACGGGGAAGGGACAAAATGGAACTGTTTCAAGCGAAAGACGAGTATATTCTTCAGAGCGGGGACCGTGCCCTGTGGTGCAGCCGAAAAGATGGGACCATGACGGTCAGAGCTGGTACGTATGGGAGCTTATTCTGCTGCTTCTTTCGCCAAGCCAACATTCGGCATTTACGCGACTCGACCATAGAATACGTGTTGTTTCTATTTGTTTGTCAGTCTGGGGCCGTCATGGGTAGTTTAGAGAAGATTTGGCCTCGTGTTCCTCATTAGTTCGGTCTTATATCTTCTGTCTGTCACTTGCCAACCGTCGTTGAATTAAACCGTCATCATGTCAACGTAACAACACTATCAGTCTGAGATAAAACAAACCTTAGAGTTAGGCAAAGTAGGTTAGAGAGTGTTTTTTTATATGATGTGCCACTCCTTAGCCGTGAAATCATCGTTCAAGCTTTCATTCCGATGGTGCCAGCACCCCACACAGTCCTCAAAGTTCTCCCCTTGCTTCTCATGTTACAAACAGAGGATTAGTATTGACTTTTTAGCCCTTTTGATTGCTTTATTGCTACTACCTATAATGATAATAACAGCGTAATTCCAGCCTTCTAGGCTAGCAGTGTAACTGAAGTCTGTCAAGCTGCTGCCCCTGTTATGTCCACTTTGGTCATGTTGCAGAAATGACAAACTTCTTTGAGCTCACAGCAGCTTCAAACTCTCCTAACAGATGAACACAACATGCTATGGAAAAATATCCTCCCAGGTTAGGTGGGAGATATGCTACTCTATTAGGAAAGTTTCCCTAAAGTCACCGGAACGCTGTGTGTGCCACCTCCTGTCTGGCTGTGCAGCCATCCTTAACGGGTTTTCAGTTGCAGCGCTGTTTCATTATTTAATTGGAAAAAGGGTTTCCACTGCTCGCTGCGTTTCCACTTCACTCTGCGGCGCCCCAGGAAAGCGTGTCCACCATATTGCACATTCTGGGTGAAGTTATTCATGTCGTGTTACTCATTCTTCTTGTTCTGCCAGACTTTCCCTTCTGAGTCCGCCGGCATGTGGAACAGGAAGAGTCATTGTCTGAAGTGGATTTTGTTCTCCACCCTTACCCTCACCCGTCATGTTTTTCCAATTTCCTTCACTGTCGTTTTTAATCCACAACAACTGCTGAGCATTCCAATATTTGGTTTTGTAACAGATTTAACCAACTCGTGAAATTACCCCCCCCCTCTCTCTTTTTTAGTTGAGTACTTTAAAAAAAAAAGGGAACATTCCCGAAGAATTACACACCTACAAGAGTGGCACAAATTGCACACCTATCTCTTCTCATTAAAGAGGCATGCAAGTTTTTAGCTTTTTTCTTTTTTTGTTTAAAAAAAAGGAGTGTTAAGGAATTCACCAACTATGACTGCTCTCAGAAACTTTCAGTTTGTTTCATTGAGCCAGTGTGCAACTGCTGACAGAAAAAGGGGCACACAGTCAAATCTTGCCAGGTGATAGCATCGGATCCCAGTGAGTCTTTGTACCCGTAGCTGATTGTCGTCTTTAAAGCATGGCGCTCAACATTTCCATTTTCTTTGTTTCAGCAACAGACCTGTTGTTGGCCTGGAACCCGGTGTGTTTGGGTTTGGTGGAAGGTGTCATTGGAAAGATACAACTTCACACAGGTAGGTGGACCATGAAAAACATCAGTGTATCAATCACTGAGCCGTTCCAGACATTTTTCTTACAACATGCAGACAGCAGTGCCCAGTATTAATCCATCCGTGTGAGCTAGAAGTTAAATCTAAGCAAATGCTCTCTGAAATGTGTGTGTGTGTATTAAAAAGGAGCGAGCCGATGATTCAGCTCACACATCCGATGTTATCAGTGTTGTGCCAGCGTGGGCCTCAGGGCTGTCAGTCTGAAACGAAACCCTCCAACGGAAAGTACACCAAGATTGATAACATTTTAGCAAACCAAATAGATCGGCCTGACATAAATATTTATTCACCGCACGTGTCATACATCCTCGTTATTAAATCTGCCGCTAAGGGCTCGTGTGCAGCCGCTTTCTTCACACCTTTCAGAATGTGAGGAATTCTGCACCGGTGACGCAACACCCTCGTCTCCTCTCTCCTCTTGGCAGACCTTCCGCTTGGCCTCGTATTAATCCGCCAGAAAGCCCTAGTTGGACATCTACCTGGCAACCACAAAGTCTACAAGATCACCAAGATAGCTGTCATTCCCTTATCTGACGAGGAGCCCCAGGAGCTTGAGCTTGAGGTACGCATGCTTCACTTAAAAAGGAGTGCACTCGGTCCCCCTTGAATGTCATTATAAAAGCACTTGTGAGAATCCTAAAGTGTTGATGCAGCCACGAGAGCCCAGCGTGAGTCAGCACATGACTCATCTGTGAAGATTAGCTGAAAGTGTTGAGAATGAGTTGTGGCTTGATTGAATTTTTATGTGAAGATTTAAAATCATAACAATAAATGACAAAGGAAGAAGAATATTTCTAAGATTTCAGTTTTTCAGGGGAGCTTCATGGATGATGAGACTGAATATTATCAAGTGAGTAATAGTCATTAGAGGTTGGATTGTTAGACCTTGCTCTTGTCCTCCAGAGTAGCTGCTGTCCCCCCTTTTGTTAGTAGACACCCTCAAAGATCAATGTAGATGTTTGAAAGTGTAGAATTAGAGTGTTCTAGTTTACTGTAGCGAGTAAGGAGACAGATGTGCCATATTTTCCTTGTCAAATCGATTTAAGTTCTAAATGTCAAAGAGATTGAGATTTCTTACTTAAATGTCTTTTTCAGCTTTGCAAGAAGCATCATTTTGGAATCGACAGACCAGAGAAACTGGCCCAGTCTCCCGATGAGTCAAAGTTCTTGATGAAAACACTGAGTCAGATCAAATCTAATGTGGCTGTGCCCATCAAGAAAAAGGTACAATGCATGCTATTGTCTGCGCTCTTTCGCCCTCAATCTGATGCCCTTTTCTGCTGGTCTTTATTTTAAAGGCTTTTTGGGGTCTTGTGTTTTTTTTTTAACCCCTTCCTTGCTTCTTAAGCTTACAGCTGTTTTCTCTTCCACCTGCCCAATCCAGTATTCCCCTGCCTTCCAGGTCAAGGAAAACAAAGAGAAGGAGCGTTTGGAGAAGCGGCTGCTGGATGACCTCTACAAGATATTCATGGATTCCGACTCTTTCTACTACAGCATGACCTATGACCTTACGAACAGTGTGCAGCGGCAGGGAGACTCCGAGAATTCCAACCTACCCCTATGGAAACAGGTTGGGAAATGAATAAATCACGTGATTGGAGTTTGACTCCAAAAAAAGCCTCTTATTTACTGATTGATTTCATGCTTTAAAAAGGTGGATGACCGTTTCTTCTGGAACAAACACATGATCCAAGATCTCATCGACCTTCAGGTAAGGGTTTTTTACACACAGCCTTTGTCTCTCTTCACAGCTGAGAGCTCAAAGGGTGTAGGAGGATGTTACTGTTCAAGTGGGGCTTTTTTATGAGCTGATAAGTGCAGAACTTTATCAGAGAAGTATGAAAATGTGCTCTCAGACAAACTGTAAGCGGACACCTAGCTGGAAGCCTTTACATCTCCAATGATGCAAAATACATTGTGTCAGCACTGCAGATAACATTTAAATCTTCTTTTCCGGCTCTCCGAAACGGCTCAGGTCCCGGAGGTGGACTTCTGGGTGATACCGATCATTCAAGGATTCGTACAGGTGGAGGAACTGGTGGTGAACTACAACGAGACGTCAGACGAGGAGCGGAGCAGCCCAGAGACCCCGCCGAAGGAGGTCACCTGCGTCGACGACATCCATCCTCGCTTCACCGTGGCCCTGATCTCCAGACGCAGCCGCCACCGAGCAGGTAGAGCTACAGACAGCTGCTGTCAACTGAGAGGAGGTCAGGCCTGAGGCCAGGTTCCTGTCGCACAAACGGGTCGCATTATTAAAAACGCACAAGTCGCCACTTACTGACCAGTCTCTTAACTGAAGAAGTCTGACCTGTGATTGAATCACCAGTTTAACACTGATGCTTTGCTCTTCAAAGGGATGCGCTACAAACGCAGGGGGGTGGATACAGACGGCCATGTGGCTAACTATGTGGAGACGGAGCAGCTGATCCACGTGCACAGCCACACTCTGTCTTTCGTGCAGACTCGCGGTTCCGTGCCGGTCTTCTGGAGCCAGGTGGGGTATCGGTACAACCCTCGGCCACGGCTGGAGAAAGGTCAGTGAAAATCTGTTGTTAGGCTGAAATGTGTCAGTTCAAGGGGTTTGTTGAAGGAGGGGCTTTCCTTTCCAATTATTTTCTGCCTTTAGGGGAAATTAAAAATGAAAGACGCTTGATTTTTTTTTAACATATTGCTCTTTAGCCTGCTTTAATTGTACATGAATAGCACTTTAGTCCTCAAAGTTAAGGTGATTTGCAACCCTCTTCAGATCTCACAATGACATCTCAGATCATATCCAATGAAAACCCGTCTTGTGTGTTTTCCCGATTTCTTGCAGGAGAGAAGGAGACCATGCCTTACTTTGCTGCTCATTTTGAACAACAGCTGGAACTGTACAAGAAGCAGGTGTGGTTACTTTGCTAGAATTTTTTTTGTTTAAATGCATCACTGTTATGATGGAGGGTTGTTTTAAATCTGCCACTTTTTATAGATCACTTTGCCACCTGTGGTCATGTGCAGTTTCAATGTTCTTATTGAGGCGGAAGTTCAAATATAACCCGACAGCATGCTGTAAAGATGTTCAGGTGGCTCAGTTATTGGACTTAAATTGTATCAAAGTGGGAAAATTAGGCTTTGGTCTGCCCTCCATGCTCTGATATTAGACTCGAAAGTGTTTTGATGCAGAGTGGACTGGATTTATCTGAGTGACGCCTGGTCCTGTCCTCTGCCTCAGGTCATCATTAACTTGGTGGATCAAGGTGGCCGGGAGAAGATCATCGGCGATGCATATCTAAAGCAGGTCCTGCTTTACAACAACCCGAACCTGACATACGTTTCGTTTGACTTCCACGAGCATTGGTAAGAGACGCGTCTGATGCGTTCGTATGTTTTCTTTTTTTGTCTTACCATGAACCGCAGGGCATTTACTTCCTCTTTACACTTTTCATGTCATTTTTAACAGCCGTGGTATGAAGTTTGAGAACGTGCAAATACTGACAGATGCTATTTTTGACATCATCACTGACATGAAGTGGGCCTGGTGAGTGTCACGCCTGTGTTTTGTACAGAATGAGAGGAATAAAAAAACGAGTGGCGAGTGTGTGTTCAGATTTCTTATTTTGATTCTAACTAGACCTTTCTCCATCAGGGTGGACCAAGCGGGCGTCATCTGTAAGCAGGAAGGAATCTTTAGAGTCAACTGTATGGACTGTCTGGACAGGACCAACGTGGTCCAAGCTGCTGTTGCTCGGGTAGTGATGGAACAGCAGGTGAGATTTTAGCCTTTTAGAGTCTATTTTTATCTTCAGTCTGCTTTTAAATGCTTTTTATTATTTCCCGCAGCGGTGACCTTTTACTCTGAGTCACATTGTTCCGTCTTGGACACAAAGTACTGAACAAAATGACCTGTCCATCCTTTAGCGCCCTTTACACTCCAGCTTCATCCTTTTAGGAGCTCCAGCAGTTTTACAATATTGACAAGACCTATTCATATTTAGTTACTGTGCAAACAGAAATCGGTGGATCGTTGATTTTTTTTTTTTGTAACTGTTAATCGTTCACTCTTTTTCCTGCAGCTGAAGAAACTGGGTGTGATGCCTCCGGAGCAGCCTCTGCCTCCCAAGTGCTACAGAATTTATCAGGTCATGTGGGCAAACAACGGCGACACCATCAGCAGACAGTATGCAGGCACCGCCGCACTCAAGGTAACGTCAGTTCTTTATGCAAATCCTTTTTATAGCAAGTATGGACTGGATTAATTTGAATATGTAAATAGGAAAGTGTAAATGGGTTTGAATGGTATTTGTCTGGACCCCTGCAGAGTGATTGTGTTGCTCATTCACACTTTTTTTCTGTCTCAGGGAGACTTCACCAGGACTGGGGAGAGAAAACTGGCAGGTGTGATGAAGGATGGGGTTAACTCCGCCAACCGCTACTATTTGAACCGTTTCAGAGATGCCTACAGACAATCAGTTATTGGTATGGAGGGGCTCTGGATGAGTCCCTGTACTTCATCCCTCCCTAATATTCTGTCTTTGGAAAACATTTCTGAACACCCTGCATCTCTCTGCAGATCTCATGATGGGCCTCCCAGTGACAGAGGATCTCTACTCTATATTCAGTAAGGAGAAGGAGCATGAAGAAAAGGAGAAGGAGAGCCAAAGAGGAGCCCAGGAGCAGGTCAGCCTCCTGCTGCAAACCTATATGCAGCTTCTGCTTCCAGATGACGAGAAGTTTCATGGAGGCTGGGCCCTCATCAATTGCGACATGAGGTCAGTGGCCAGCATGTTGATATTACTAGAGAATGTTTGGTACCTTTATGTTGTCCGGCCTCCTTTTTTTTTTAATGCTGTTCCTTTGTTTCCCATTAGTCTTATTGATGCAAACAACAAAGATGTGGATGTGCTGCTGCTCCTCTCAGACAAAGCTTACTACATTGCTTAGTAAGGAAGACTTTCATTTTCTACAACTGTATCTATGTTTGGCATTTGATGGTTCCTTTAGACTTTATTTTGTTTGCCTTTTTTTTTGTGTTTCAGCTATGACGAAGAGGCGGATAAAGTCAACCAATACCAGCGCCTCAACTTAGAGGGTTTAGAAAAGATTGAAATCGGTAAGAAGTCCCATTCGTACAAGCAGTTCCTGTTCTCCGCTGAGTCATCTAACACTTCCCAAAAACATTCTCACAGTTCCTCAGTAATATTTAGGCAACGTCCTCTCCACTTAAAATTTATGCAGAGAAAGCAAATTGAGAAGTATGGATGTGGAAACTTGCGTTATTCTTCAACAGGTCCGGAGCCCACCCTGTTTGGGAAGCCAAAGTTCTGCTGTATGCGCTTGCACTACAGGAATGAAGAAACAAGCGGATACTTCCACACGCTGAGAGCAGCCACACGAAATCCTGAGGACGACGGGAAGGGTAGGGTGTAATTCTTTCAATTCTAAATAAAGAAAATATAATCCTCTCTTTAGATGGTGAGCCCTCTAATTATTTTCCGGCACATGTTTCAGATACACTGCAGTGCATCGCAGAGATGCTTCAGATAACCAAACAGGCCTCGGGGCTTGACCTGGTTTTGGTTGAGAAGAAGCTAGAAAGGTAAGCATTAGAGTGTTTTCTGAGTGCTGTTGTCATTTTGAAAGGTGTGGCTCCGGCCTGAGCTGTGGCTCCCACGTGTAAGCTGTGTGCGTCTGCCTTCCAGGCGGCAGAGCAAACCTCACGAGGACATAATGGGGATCCAGAACAAACCCGCCGACCAGGTCCAGGGCAGCTCCGGCCTCGCGCAGGGCAAAAGTTTCCTCCTCAACAAGTTCTCCTCTCTCAATCAAAAAGTGAAGCAGACCAAGACCAACGTGAACATCGGCCCCTTCAAGCCCCTGGGTAAGCTGGGCAACTTCTCCAAGCCCGACGTGACGGTGAATTTCCTCAAGCCAACTATGCACGTGAACCTATGGAAGTCGGATAGCAGCCTGGAAACGGCAGATAAAGACCCCGGCTCTGGAGCCCTAAAAGACATCGGTGCTGAGAATTATGAAAACTCCTCTGACTCAGACTCGTACAACTCGGACCCCGAGCACCCGTGCTCTGGGTCCCTGGAGAAGGTGGACTATGTGCTGCCCAGCTGCGGCATTGTAGCGTCCAACTCTCGGCTTGGCAGTCGCTCCCAGTCCATCGGCAGTGTGGAGCTGAACATCCCCTCCATCGTCAGGGTGACCGGTTGCGACGGAAAGCAAGAGAGCCCCCCTCCAATCGACGACGAGAAGTCGCCCGGGGCCGCCTCAGTCGCCGAAGAAGCCATTCTGATTGACTTTGGCACTCCCATTGAGGCCTACTGCCACCAGTTTATCCAAGACGCACAGACCAAGCCTGTCGAGGTATTTGGAGAGCCGCCCCTGGCCGCCGTCATACCCACGCAGGGCAAGAACCCCGCAGACTCAGACAAACAGCCCGGTTCAGAGCAGCAGAACCCCAACGAGGAGCCCCAGCTCCCCAGGCCATCTCAGCTAGACGTCCAAACCGCTACCTCCAATTCCAGCCTCCTCTCTGTCCAGAAGCCCAGCTCCGCAGTCTCCGGGGGCTCTCAGAAGAGTCTGTCCTCACAGCTGGAGGGCAGCCTCGGGCCCTCGCCCGCCGACAGCAACGGCAGCCGAGTGGTGTCCCCTTTTGCCAAGATCAAGAGTTCCATGGTCCAGGTGGCCAGCCTGACCCAAGCTGGCCTCACCCAGGGCATCAACTATGCTGTTGCAAAGGTACAGAAGAGCCCCGAGCCAGATACAGTCAGCGAGACCCAAGAGAGTGAGCTGAAGGCAATGTTTACGCAGTGCCAGACCAGGATCATTCAGATCTAGTGCTTTCCACGTAGCAGGATTGTCGCCTTTCCTCTTAGGTCATCTAGAATCTCCTTGTTCCATGTGGTAGCAGCAACAAAAGCTTACACAGAGCGTCGCTATTCGGCCAAGACACGTTCTCTCAGATTTCCCCCTTTAGTTAGAACTCGCCCACTTTGATGGAGATTCAGCCGACAGACGCACCCCTTCAGTGATGACGGTTATGTGAACGCGACCACATACCCCTCCTTATTTCAAAAGCACTGACCGTTTTGTTTGTTGGGTTGTTTTTTGTTTTCGCCTTAGCCATGCGACGTTGCACACCGATCAGTGGCGTTCCCACACCGTTTTTATGGGTTGATAATCAGGTTTTGCCTCCCAGTGGAAATCGCAATAATGCTGACACCACGTCCTCTCTGATGTAAATGTCCAAGTACCAGTGTGTATGTGTGTGTGTATGCGCGCGTGTGTAGAGGTAGCATATGGTCGCCTTTTATAGTAGTTCACGGTGAGAAATGAATAGGAATTTGCACACGTTCCATCTAAATCTTACACCACTCCAGAAAAAGTCCCAGATGGAGATTTCTCACAAGGTACAACTCTTTTAAACTGAACTGATAGATAACAGACAGCTAAATACACATTAGTTAAGAGTCAAATGAATAAATATATATAATATATATTTTTAATACACCTTAAAAGTCCTCCCACTGGGATATGTGGAATATTTGTCTTTATTTAAACGTGTTTTCAGTCTTGCATTGATCCCTCAGCTTGCATGTGTGGTCAGCGGTGACCACTGGCTCTCCTCGGCTACATGCAGAAAGACCTTCCCCCTCTACCTGATCAGGTGGCCCTCGATGTGGACTCTTAAGATAACACCCAGTTCGTTTTTACACACACTGTAGAAATCAACCAAATATTCCTTTTTTTCCCCGTGGATCCCAAGGGAGAGTTGCGTGTGGGGAAAATAACCCTTTTGTAGCTGTAACAAGATCGCCAGACGACATAGCGCAGCGTAGATATCATGTCATGTCAGTGTTGTCCGGTGAAACTTAGACAATATACCGTTAAGAAGTAAGACTTTAGTAAGAGTATCTTAGGTGTCAGTATGTACAGTGAGTATTGTTGATGGGAGCTTCCTTCCCTTAAGCTTTCTTTTGAGCGGAAGCATTATATTTTCAGAAAGACGCGCCGTGCTGTCATTTCAACCAGAAACCCAGAGGTTGGAGTTGTTTTTGATAGGTAAATATAAGGAAATATCTATTCTGCTGTTGTACTATTTAATATCTGTAGGTTTGTTCCAACCGAGTCTTTGGCAAGCAATGTACATCAACACCGCATGTGTGACCAAGGCTGGAGCGTAGCATATAGGAGGCATATATGCAGCCGCCACCATCCATTTCCCTCCAAACACTGACGCTTTATGCACTCCCCGAGCTGAAAGCATTTTTGCCTTAACAAGGAATTTAAGTGGGATTATGTATATCAGGTATTTACGGCAAAATCTACCTTTTTTTGTTGTTTTTTTCCTTTTTCTAAAAGTCCATTCTTACATGTTACATTTGGTGTACTGTGTAAAATGTGTTCAGGGTTACTGTGTCATCGAGCTTTGTGTTGGGATATTTCAGTCAGACGAGATGAAATGGGGCGTGCTGGTTAGTGTTCCGGCGCCCTGCTGCCGGGGTTTGGGAATGCTTACGTTTAAGAGCCCTGGTGGTATTCAGGCTCTACAAAGCTGTTGACATTTTGTCGCGCGTCTTCTTTTTTTGTGCGTGAACCTCAACAAGAGGTTTCGCCTCAGTCCTCCACTTAAAGAAAAAAGTCGTTTTTAAAAACAAATCTCTTGTAGGACCCAGCTATAGACTGCCAGAGGAACTTCTGATGAGCCCTGGCCACCTCATTCCATTTTGTATAGTAGCATTTATGATGGTTTGCTTAGAGCTGAAATATCCTAAGACAAAGCACCAGGAGCATCATATATTGTGTTATCTCCCTTCACCTGGCTCGCATCGCACATTTGTTCGCTTTGTGAGTGCTGCTGATGACATGTGGTGCTGCCAAAGCTTTAAGGGTAGTGTAAAGCTTTGACACTGATGGTTAAGGGTGTTTTTTGTTGTTTTTTTTATTCAGAAAATCTTTGTTCAGGTTTGAAAACACTGGAGCGGTTCTGACAGACACTAGGTGGAATCTTAACAAGTGTGTTATGTTTAAAAGCTAAAAGGAAAAGTAATTCTCAACATTCCTGATAAATCCGCGCCGGCTTTTTAATTCAGATGCTGACGGTTTTTAATTTGAGCACTTGCGAGCCGGTTGGGATGTCTCCTTCCTTTCGTTTTCACACCAAGTGCATTTGCATCCACCTCCTCATGTTGTTGTCGTCTTTAGTCCGCTTCCAGCAGGACCCAAGTCAGTAAACATCTTCAAGCAGTTGATTTGCACTGTTGAAGCACATTTTCCGAGCACTGGCATTCATGATGTCTGCTGTCCAGTTTTGTTCCTCTCTACCAACTGACTGTCATTGTTTTCCACAGTGTACTGAGATTGTATTGTATATTAAAGTATCCTATTTATTATCTCCTTTTGGGTGTGTGCTTAATAAGTGTTGCTGCCTCTAGCTGTAGTCTCACTCCTGCAGCTAACGAACAGAAGAAAATGCTCAGATGTTTTTGTAATAACTTTCACATCTGAACTAAATGGAGCATGAAAAAACTTTATTACAAACTGTGAAGGTATCAAAACAAACGGAGGCCGGGGCTTCTGTGCTCAGGGCTCGTTGCCGTTGACGCTCTTGTGCTGCTCCATGCGGCTCCTCCGCAGCATCTCCAGGTGTTTGGCTTTGAGCCAGCCCTCTCTGGTCAGAGAGCTCTCCCCCAGGCTCAGAGACAGCAACCTGTCGGCAGAGTCACCATCAGCCGCGTCCTGATTCTCAAAAGCCAAATCAAAGAGGGCCTTACACCCGACACTCGCCTTGCCACTACCAGCATCCTGTGCAGGTCCTCGGCGGAGATGCTCTGGGGGTCGTCCTTCCTCATGTCTACAAAGTCCTCTTCCACCGACTGAAGCCGCTCAAACACAGTTGGTCGAGCGTTAGCCACCACAGTGATCGAATACCGAGAGGCTGCACTTTCTTTTTACCGGCGTGCGTCTCCCACCTTTGTCACCTCGTCCGAGATGCTGTAGTCGAGCAGCCGGGCCACACTCAGGTAGATGCGGAACTTGTTGAGCTGCGATGAGCCCTGCGGATGCATGTGGATACCGCCCAGGTACTCCTCCATGTGTGACGGAGCCACCGGGGGCTGTAGGTGCACCTGGCAGTCGGACTGTGGACGGGAAGAGAAGCGCTGACACTAGGCTGATGAAAAAAAGATTATTTTTTTTAAAGAGTCATTTACTGCTGCAGTCTAAGAGCCTGGTAGCTTCCTGGCTCTGACAGGGAGAAAAAAGAAAGCATTGCTGAACTGCAGCTGGAGGGGAAAACAGACGCGTGAATACGTCTTCTAAATCAGCCGTGGGAGTTGTTTACCGCACGACTAATGCGTTCCCAGGCCCGACGCCTCTTCCAGGATTGTCCCTGTGGCACGCGGCTGCCGCCATGGCAACCTGTCAGAGCAACATCCAGGAATAGCGCGCGGCGCATTCCTCGGGCTGCTGGCGGCCAGGCCCGGGCTAAAGCCGCTGGCTGGCCAATGGCAGCCCGGGGCGCCGCGTGGAAACAACCTCTGGGGTCGGACATGGCCCCGTGTCTCAAGAGGGGCAGGCAGAAACCCGAGTGGGAGCAGTAGCCCGTCCGCCTCGTCCTCTCTGAGTCCTCACCGGCAGCAGCGAGCGGCCCTCCGACGCCACCAGCACGTTAATATTGCAGGGGAATTCCATCTGGTGGTAGTTGAAGTCATAATCAACCTTCTGCCACGAGATCAGGTTCCCCAGGGCCGTCACGTTACGCACACCTGCGGCGCACACCACAAATGGAGGCACAAGGGGCCCGGCCAGGTCAGTGCCGGCAATCGGCCACACGCTGAGGGGTTTGCCGCCCCCTCCTGGCCTCGGCGAGACTCACCGTGGGCGTCCAGCTGGCCCTGCTCCAGCTTGGTCTCGTCCAGGAACAGAGAGGTGTTCCCAGCCAGCTGCAGGGCGCCGCTGACCAGCCGGTTGGCCGCGTAGTCCTTCTTGGGCACCAGCCGCGTCTGGTTCATGTTGTGCAGGCTCATGCCCAGGTAGTGCGACTGCAGGGGGAGAAGTTCCACCGGGAACTGAGGCTAAACCCAACGGGACTGTGTGACGGATGAGCTCCGGCGGGCAACTCACCGAAGGCACCAGCTGCTGGAGGATCTGGTAGAGGCGCTCGGGGTAGGAGGCGGTGACGGGGCAGCCGCTCAGGTTCAGGGTGAACTTCCCCAGCGGGAGAACGTCCCGCCTGGTGTAGCTGCAGGAGCATCATTCAGGAAAAACAAAAATAGAACAACTTTAGCATGAAGCAACCAAAGAAAAACAAAACAGCTTCCTTCCTTAAATGGCTGGCTTTCAAACTCACACGTTGGAAATGAGGTGCAGAATGAGGTACTCGGCGGCCAAAGCGTCGCCCAGGAGGACATGAGTGAGGTACGAGAGCAGCTCCGCCCTGACGGAGGCCATTTCGCTCAGGGTGGATGACAAAACTGAGGAGAGACAGAGAGAGGGCCACAGAGGTCAGACAAGCTCCCACGGCAACGGCGGGAATGTCGGCGCTTTAAAAGCTTAAGTAGGATTCAGCCTTCCTCCTTTAGGAAAGACAAACGAGGCTGTTTTTCCCCTATTCTGCCCTTAAGTTTTACAGCTGAACACTAAAGTCTGTAAATAATATATTTGCTGCCTCTGGTTTTAAAACAGAGGTGTGTTAATCGCAGGAACCAAAGCGCTATAAATAAATAAAACACTAGAAAAATGGTCTGATTTAAACAGGAAATAGCCCATTTCTTTACCACAAATGAACCAAATCCAGTCACACATACAAACACATAGGAGGATATCCAGAAAGACTCTTACAGGCACTGTTCTGTAGGCTGGTGTGGGGCAGCAGGGGGTTGTTGTGCGCCAGCCGCTTGAAGTGGAGCATGTGGAGGCGAGGGACCAGCGAGGCCGGGGGGCTGTGCACTCTCTGCTCCTCTGCCGTCTCCATGCTCTCAGAGGGGTCCAGGAGGGACGAGGAGGAGGCGTCCCTGTTGGGGGGGGGGGGGGGGGCCGGAGAATCAGTAACGGGCAGCCGGCCGGAGGTGCCACGGCGCCAAGTTAAAGGTCTCACTTCTCATCGGCCAGCGCGCTCAGAGCCGGGCTGACCGACAGGATGCCGTAGACCTCCAGCGTGTCGTTCAGTTTGAAGCTGTCCCACTCCTCGTACACCTGGAAAAACAACACACACACACACACACACTTTTAGAATTGAAAAGTCTGCAGACGACAGCTGTAAAAATGGCAGAGCACAGTGAGGCGGGACACGCCTTGAGCAGGCAGGAGGGCCCCTTTTCTCCCGGGAGGGGGAAATTCAGGTCCAGGTGGGATGCCGACGCGGCCTGGCTCGAGGGAGCCTCCGTCTCCTGCCGCTTGCAGTCGCCGTTGCCGTGCTGCTCCAGAGGGCTCTGAGGACCTGTGGTGTGATGCACCAAAAAAAACCCCAAAGAAATGTAAGGGGGAAAAAGCTGGACGAATGAGCAAAGACACAGAAGCGCAGCCCCCAACCGGCATGCGGGTCCCGCTGCTTCTGCGGCTGAGTGTCCATGTCGTCATCTTCCTCGTAGCTCCTCTTCTGCCGGCTGGGCACGTACGAGGTGGAGGGGACGACCCTGGCCTGGCTGCCGCCGGCGTACCTGTGCAGCTGGATTAAGGAGCGCGACGCAGCTGGCGGCAGACTTAACCGCGGGAGGCTTCCACCAACAAATCCCACAAGGATATCTCCTTCACCCACTGATTCTCGCCGGGGATCGGCACGCAGTAGAACGTCTGCCTCTCTGCCGTCACCGTGTTCCTGGAGTTAAAATCCACCTGGAGATGAAGAAAAACAAAAATAAACTCACAGCCCAGCCGAAACCCTTCAGGAGCCCCTGCTCGCCCGGGCAGAGGGAAACTCACCCCAGACTCTGTCACGTCTTTGTACTTCCCACAACGCAGAATCTGGAGATGATCAGACAACAATAGAACACGGTGACATTCTGCTCTGTATCACACAAATGCAAACGAGAGAGCACAGGAGCAGAGCTCTCCGCATATGCAAATGTCTCCACTAAAAGGGAGGGCGGGTAGGCACGCACTTTAGCCTGTGTGGAAGGACTAGCAGTCTCATACACTCCCATGTAGAACTCTGGATCGAACATGTCCTGGATCAGGCAGCGGAACTTCACCAGGCTGTCGGGCTTCAGGTAGTGCAGGGGGACGTCGTTCAGAGACGGAACCTGCGTCCAGACAAAGGGGGGGGGGGGGGGGGGGTGGAGGGAAGGGGGGGGCGCCCGGGAGGGGGGGGGGGGGGGGGGGGGGGGCGGTTACCCAGGAGCCAGTGTGCCCAAAGGGGAGTTTACCGGCGTCTGGGTGTGATGGAAGGCGGGTTACCATCATCTGAGCGTTCTCCTCTTTCAGGTGGTCTTTGAAAAATTCCACAGCCTGTGCCTCCCATGCTGAGCTCGGACTGTTCTGGGAGGCAGCTACGATTGCGGAGAGGTGACCGTGTTATTTGTTGTTGAAATGGCAGCAAAAAGGTTACAGCTTAGAGACAGTTCTAGGAAAAAGTGCATCAAAATGCATTTGAAAAACAAAAAAGTAAAAGTAAGTGAATAGTCTAAATTTGATTAATGAGCCGTATTAGAACGTTTCATGTGAAATAACGTCACTAAAAGCTGTCACCTGAAAACTTCCATCACCTCTTAATTTTTACTTAAACTGGTTACAACTTCCGGTCTCAATTCCTCATTCTATCCGCATCACAAAGTTACAAAGAGGGGTTATTTCTATTGTTTAGATTTGAGTTTTTAACTGCTTCTCAGCGTTCTGTTCCACGTTAAATAGAGCCACGAATGCAACGCTTCTAAATCCGAAACAGCCTTTTTCTGAGGACACGTTTCTTGAGGCGAGTTTGACCAATTGCGGTCTCAAGTTCTGGCTTTTCTGTTTTAATTCGGGTAGCTATCATCTTTGTGTACTCTGAACAGGTGCGGGTGCAGACTGTCATGAAACAAAGCTGGCGGTTACTTCACCAGACAATGTAGTCAAGTAATGAAAGTTCAGCTCGGTGTGATGTGCGGCTGGCTAGCTAGCTAAGTCTCACGAGTCAACGTTAGCTGTCACAGAGTTTAGAAGCGTCTCACCGAACATCCCTTCAACAACACCCATAGGGTCGCTTATCCAATCCTGTGTGGAAGGCATCGTAAACACTTGAACAAATTCCGGCAGAATGTAAAATATATTCGAGTAAAACCTATCCCAATCTACTAGTTTGTTGACTTTCGGCTCACAGAAGAGTGCAGAAATGAGGGCGGGAAATTTGCGTCACTGGTCGTGGAGCGTATTTCGCTTGTTTTCAACGCGGGGACAGTCCGGGGGGACGGAGTCTATCAACACTTGTTGTGGTGGTGCAGCAGTAGAGCTGTCCTGATTTTGTTAAGAGGCATAATTTACAATAAGTAGTATAATAAGTATACTAGTCTTAAAATAAACCCTCGAGTAAAGTTTAAAATAAATCAGAGTGTTTAAACGATCTTCCTAGCCAGCAGGTGGCAGTAGTTATCGACAGCTCTAATTTTTTATACTACCATTGAGTTACCGTAAAGAAGCCTGCGTTGTTTTTGTAGATCTATATGTCATATGTCCCGGTGTTCACCCTATGAAAAAACACGGAAGTGTGTTAGAGATCAGTGTAACGTGTTAGCGCGGAGAAAACGCTTCTCGCAGGACGCAGTGCGAGCTGCCAGCTTGCTCCGGCTGTGGCTACGTGTAATTGTAGGGGAAAATGGCAGATAGGAAAAATAATAATGCTTCTAACACCGGTTCGAATTTACTGTTCAATGCCGCCCCGGAGTTTAACTTCAATTTGCCTTTCATGCCAGTGAGCCAGGCCACGGGTCCGGCTGTGTTGTCAGGAGGTGAGGAAAAACACCGACCGAGTTAAATGCCTTAAAAACAGTGAGGTCGTCAGCAGTCCGAGCTAGGCTAGCTAGCTTACCGGGTTCATTTGCTGCTGTCAGCTGTAATGAATGTAACAGAGAATGAAAGAGGAACAAAAAGTGTGTACGTGTACTTAGTCGTTTGTGTGTACTAGTGGACTTGTGTTGGACTAATTCGTTTTCGTTTGTTGGGTTGGACTGCCAACGTTTTATTTGTTTTGGTGGACTATCTTTCAAAACACTTAATATGAAGACTGCTTATCTTCCTGTTGGCAACCATATTATTTTCCTGATATTCATTTGATATATTTATCTTTTGATGGCCACTCTTGATTTTTGAATGTGAAATTGTGTGTGGTGTGTAATTGCAAACAGTGTTTTTAACACTGTTGAACAATATTGTTGTTCTATGCCCATTAGATGATTCCACTGATGTTGGTGAGGAAGACAGTTTTCTTGGTCAGAACTCTGGGAATGGACCAGCTGCCTCCTCCACATTTAGCTACTTTTCCAGCCCCGTTACCACCTCTGACCCATTCGCATCCATAGGCCAGTCAACATGCCCACCACCAGCGCTGTCTGCAGCTCCGACAACAACAGGACCCGTTTCCCTCCCCAGCTGCGTCGGCATGGCTTTGCCGCCATCATCAGGCTCACAAATGAGCCCTGCTCCCTCAGCGTTCGGCGGTGCAGTTTACCAAAGTCCTGTTGGGCGTCACACTCCTCCTCCTGCCACGATGACCCCTCCACCACCCCAAATGCAGCAGCAGAGTCATAACCCATACAGACATACTCCCACCAGCAGCAGAGCCAGTCCTTACATTCCAGCCCCAGAGATCTTGCCACCAACACACACACCTCAGCAGAATCCCTACCCCCTCGCCACCCCGCCGCAGATGTTCCCACCATCAGGCCCCCCACAGGTTGGTAAAGCTGTCTTGCAGCTATTGGAGGGGTTTATATTTAGGTTGTAAAACACCTATCACCATGTGTTTGTTTTTTTTCAGGCTCCTCCTTCATATATTCAGGGACGTCCGCCTCCACCCACCACGGCCGGAGCCATCGTTCCCGCAGGTCCCATGATGCAGTACAACTACAACATCTACGAGCCCATTCAGCCTCACTGGTTTTACTGCAAGCAGGTGGAGTCAAAGAGCGTCTGGCTCCCTTTCAGCATCATAGACTCCCTTCAGCTCGAGGAGACGTACAACTCAGGTTTGTCGATGTGTGATTGTGTCATCGTAATGGTGCTCCGATGGAGCTGACAGGTCGTCACTTACCATAAATCTGTTTATTCCAGTTCAACCAGACCCAGAGAACGTGGTCGTGCGAACGGATGGAGGGCGTTACGACGTGCAGCTCTATGATCGCGTCAAGAGTGCAGTCTATTGGGAGGAAGAGCCCACAGAGGTCCGGCGCTGCTCCTGGTTCTACAAAGGGGACTCGGATAGTCGCTTTGTTCCGTACTCTGAGGAGTTCAGTGAGAAGCTGGAGGTCAGTAACCACTGAACGAGTTTGTTACACTGGTGTTCCCAGGAATACGTCAGTTGTGAAGGTTTGCTTTGTATATGAAGTAACGCACTCTACGCTCTCTGGCTGCCTCAGGCAGAATATAAGAAAGCCGTGTCTACAAACCAGTGGCATCGTAGACTGGAATTCCCATCTGGAGAGACCATTGTCATGCACAATCCAAAGGCAAGCCCATGTCTCAGTGTCGTTAATCGATGTAGTTAGCCACCTTAGTTTGCTTTGTATAGCTATAAAGGTTTATCTGTTTACCTTTGCAGGTCATAGTGCAGTTTCAGCCCTCGTCCATACCAGATGAGTGGGGAACCACTCAGGATGGGCAGACCCGGCCCAGAGTGGTGAAGAGAGGGATCGACGATGATCACGATGAAGTACCAGATGGTAGTGGGCTCCTTTTATATTTGAATCAATTTAATCTAATCCCTTAATCCAAAAAATATATTCATGGTATCCGTTACCATGGAAAACAAAATGCCACAGCTCAGTTATGTGCCTCTTCCTCCAGGTGAGCTTCCCAAGGTGGACCATCTGGTGTTTATGGTTCATGGGATCGGTCCTGTGTGCGACCTGAGGTTTCGAAGCATGATCGAGTGCGGTGAGTCCCGTACGTTTCCCTTTAACGTTACTAAAGAGAAGCACCAGTTTAATGACAGACGCCATTCTTGTGCCTTCAGTGGACGACTTCCGAAGTGTGTCTCTCAAGCTGCTGCACAGTCACTTTAAGAAATCACTGGACGAGCACGCCATTAGCCGAGTGGAGTTCCTACCCGTCCGGTGGCACACCGCTCTACACGGAGATGCTACGGGGGTGGACAGGTGAGGAGAGGCGGGGGGGGGGGGG